GACCGAACTCTTTCAACCACCGTACCCATCAAGGTACGATTTTCCTCTAAGACGAAGGCATGTTGCAATATGTACATCAATGTATCCGGCGCCCCCGGATCCGGAACAGGTTGCGTCGTCCCTTGGACATTGGATAGTCCGGGACTTTTGTTGTTCCCCGTAGGGGCTGCACACCCCGGACCCTGGGCGGCCGAAGTATTACCTTCGGCCCCGGTCTTCACTGCCTCTTGCGCCACTCGTTGATTGGGAAAGATCCTCCGGGACGACACCTCGGCATGGTCTGCCTTATCAGGCTGGGAAATTTGTGGAGGCGTCTCACTCTCCATCATCTCCGGAAGAAGATCCCCCGAAGAGGAGGACTATTGGGGAGGGCTGCGTGTCGGACTGCAAACATGTGTTTAAAATGTTACCCTTACAGCCAGGAAAGAATGGGGTAGGTTTAGAACACCCTGGTTCACTTACGGTCCGACTAGGGGCTTATCTTTACGGAGCGACTGCGTGTCAGCATCATCCCCTGACTGGGATATCTTCCCCCGCTTAGAAGCTTCTCTCTTCAAGCCTTCGGAGGCGGTCCGCTTCTTCCCATGAGGAGAAGGGATGTCAGCTTTCCCTTCCCTTCCACTTTTGGAAGTGGAAGTTCCGATCTACCCGGACAAATTGCCTGGTGTACCTCCAGAATGAAGGTCGCCTTGGGCCTCTTCGCTCTCCTCCTTATCCTCCCCCGCTGGCACTTGATATGGCACCGAAGCCAACATCCTTCTTAACACCGGATCAACATGGTCTTCGGGAAGTGGAGTCGAACACCTGATTCTCTCCGCCTTCTTTAGCCAGCCTTGGCCGAGTAGAGTTTCATCAATACATTGTTATGAGTAATCTGACTAAACTGTGTTCAGGAGTCAAGTACTTACCGGAGTATCCGAATGATTGCAGTCAAGACCGATGTCTTCTGTTCTATCCGGCCACTATTTTCGTGCGCCGAAGAATAAATTCCACATCTCTCTAAGCATTGTGCCGGAGAAGTGTTGAAGGGTCCGTAGACCTTCTGGATTGAACTCCCACATGCGGAGAGGACGCCACTGGCACGAAAGGATCTGGCGGACTAGCATTACTTGGATGATATTGGTGAGGCCGGTGTCCTTCTTAATGAGGCTCCAAATACGACTTTACAATGTCTGCACTTCATAAACAGAACCCCAGTCCAACCCTTTGTTTACCCATGATGCAAGCTGAAGCGGAGGGCCCGATCGAAACGCAGGTGCAGCTACCTGCTTTGTACCACGGGGTTCGGTAATGTAAAACCACCCCCGTTGCCATAAGTCAGAAGGTTCTGCGAAGGAGCCCTTCGGCAAGGGGGAAGTGGTAAGTTTGCTTATTGAAGCACCTCCGCACTCTGCTTGTTTCACGTCGATTACCTTTGGTTTCACGTTAAAGGTCTTAAGCCATAAGCCGAAGTGTGGGGAAATACGGAGGAAGGCCTCGCACGTGGTGATAAACGCCGAGATGTGGAGGAAGGAGTCTGGGCATTAGCCTTAAACGCACAGTTCGGGACCCCCTACCCGAGATCCGCCAGTTTTGACACCGACAGCTACCCGGGGTCTATCCCCCCGTCAGTAGTCCCCGAAGCTGGTGAGGTTCTACGGCTTGGGCAGCCGGGGAGCCTCAGCAGTTTCCCTCTTTAAGTGGCCTTCCGCCTTCTGCTCCGTCCGCCTGGGAGGAGTCGGGCGCCAGGAGCCGGACGAGGTCGCGGCCGCCTGGCGGACTTCGAATAGTCGTGGTGGGGGCCAGGTGGCGTGCCGGCTGAGCGACAGGCTCGCCGCCCGCTGGCTGCCCGCCATGCAGCGCCTGGCGGCCAGGTTGGCCTGCCAGCCAACGCGCACGACGGAACATTGCCGCAGGCCCGGGCCCGCCACTACAAGGCCTCGGTACGTGCATGGATCCACTGCGGACAATTGCTCTTCCAGGACGGTTTAATAGACGCCTTTAAGGCATGGAATTTGCGGGGTCGTGGGGGGAGTGGGCGCAGTTAATCCCACGCTCCCCCACGCCTTGCCCCCTCGGCTCCACCGGCGCGAGGCTATAAGTAGGGGGAGGACGGGGCGGCAGAACGCATGCGCGCCGTCCTCCCCCTCTGTCTTGCTTCTTCTTCTTCGCTGCCACCATGCTTTCTACCCTCACCGGAGCACTGCTGCAGCTCGTCGTCGCCGGCCTTTTCTTCACCGCTGCCGCCTCGCGTCACTGCCGAGCACGGAGCCCATGGCGCTCAGCGGCCACACCGGCGATTAGGACGGCTCCATCGTCCACGAGGACCACATTCAGTTCCTCCGCGAGATGCGGCGCCTTCCTCATCACACCGGCGTCAAGGTGTGTCTCCCCCTGCCAGGGAAATCTCTCCGGCGCTGAAGGACGGCGAGTTCGTCGTCTTTCAGGCGCATTTTCTTTGCGACTTCGGCCTTCCGGCGAGCGGGTTCCTCCGCTCGCTGATGGACTTCTACGGAGTGTCCGCCTGGTACGTCCGCACTGTAGCCACGTTCTTTCCGGGATTCGGAGGTGGCAGGTGGCACTGTTGCCACACCCTGTCTTGTCGTAGCAGGTGGGTGCAGACTTTGAGGTGGTGATGGACCGCCTGCCAGGAGTTGGCCCATGCCCTCACCGCCTTTTGAGGTGCGCCGCCTTCTAGGAGGCGGCCGGTTGGTTCCAGCCGGCCGCGGAGGCCGGCCTTGCGACCAGTCGGACTGAGGGGCTAGGCTAGCCCTGATGTCTTGAAATCTGCTAAGGTGCGGATGAGGCTACCCGGGGTCTATTCCCCCGTCAATAATGGCTCGAAATATCCCGCGTTAAAATGATGCGACCTCAAACAATTTACCTCAGCCAAATCAAAGAAATCGATGTACAACAAATCAGGAGGAAAAACAGTTGTCAAGCGCTGGT